GTTATCCAAACAAGCTGCATACTAAAGGCCATAGACGTACTTATGGTAGGTGTTTGAATGAGGGAGCTCTAAAGGTGCTGGTAGATTTATTTCTGAGCTCGAGGGAGTAGGGATAGCACTGCTTTTAGTTTTTATGCCAAGCCAAGTTCTAGCCTAGTATGACATTATTATCTGCATATTTATGCAAAACTGAGAAGAAGAAATAAAAAATAAATGCACTATTGATTCTTCCTTGATCTAACAGATGGTTACTGAAAGCATGCTTACTAACCTGCACACTTCCCATTTAAACATTGTCATAATACCCATGTTCTGCCTCTTCAGATTACTTCCCTTAACAGGAGCCTTTTGTTACCACTTACTCTGAGGCAAGCTAACCCTGCCTATCCACTTAACAGTACCACACACAGACTCATTTTATACACAATCAAGGTCAAACATAGGCTTGAACCAGGCGAGATAAACTAAAAAAAAAAAACAAAACAAACAAACACTATCCACCGTTTGAAAGGGAAGTGATGCAGTGTAAACAAAATAAATGTGTTTTCTCTTGCAAACAACAGCATCTCATGCTAGTTCCCTCACAAGCCAGCGTCTCTGCCTGCACTCTTTCTGCGCTGGTGTTCAGTAAAACAAGGTGAAATGCTTATTTACTATCAAAGTGGAAAATAACAGGCTCAAGCCAGCAGGTGCCTCTCATGCTTTCATGCTACTGCAAAGCTCTTACTCTTTGCCCAGTCATATGTGTGGCTATCTTTCATATTTCACATGCAAATAGTTTCGTTCATCTCCCATTTTCATACATTATTTGCATATGGCATTACTTTTATTTAAATAAAACAAATACTGCATTGGAAGAAGCTTGGTTGCATGGATTTACATAAATGTCTCAAATGTTCAGAGGCTGACATGAATAATTACAAGCAGGAATAACTGTACTACTATTGTTTCTATCGGATTCAGCAACAAATGGGTGCACACTGGAACAGACTAAGCGATGGCAGAATATTGGTATTATCTTTAGACACACACAGAGAGAAGGAGAGCACCTTTTTTTACTCTGGTGCGTGGCGTCCACTCTTCAAAAGACAAAGGACAACAAAGCAGAACAAAGCCATAATAAAGCATCATGACACAGACAGAAAAGAGAGTTGGTTCCTGGCTTCAGGCACCTTACTACCCTCTCAAAATGGCAAAGCCAGCCAAACCGGTTAATGCACATCACTGATTTTTAGAGCCCATGAAACACATTAAAGCTGCGTGCGAAGTCATTCCATTTTGTTATTTCACAAATATACAGCTCTGACATTTCTGCACTTTTTGAAGTTATACCTCTTATTTGATAATTTCTGTGGAAGTAGCCCATATGGAAAAGATATATATAAATCCTATAAAGTTTGTATCTGTCTTGAATGAAACTTGTATGAAAAGCATACAAGAGCGAAAACACAAATAAGATCCCTTGAAAAATTATATAATGAAACTTGTATGTTTTGGATACTTACTAAAAAATATATATGAAAGTAATAAGAAAGTGGCCACTTTCATGAGTAAATCATATATGTTTTTACTATTTCTTTTCCATATGGGAGTGCACTGGTGAAGTAATATTACACACATTTACACACTGCACGGAGAGGAACGTGGCCTTTTTCTTCCTTACACATGGATAACTAGAGCATATCGCAGCAGGAACCCACAAAATTTTAACAAAAAACAAACACAAATTAATTAGGAAAGTGCCTAGAGGATGAAAACATGCTTACTCTTTGTAACAAATTATACAGTCTAGTTTAAAGTCGAAATAGCTCCAAATGCAAGCGACAGCAAATAAATAATTAGCTTTTAAAGGTCAAGAAAATATCATTTCTTTATCAGGATTTCACATCATGCTTACAGTGCCAACTTTACTTTACAAGGATACATCTCAGGCTTTGGTAAAACTTACAAAGAGTTTGGCGCAAAGACTTAAAATGTAATTGTAACCAGACACAATACTATCACAAAGGCCCCAAATTCATTCCACAGCATGACAACAACCCCAAATATATCCAGGCAATATACAACAGATGCCACTGTGACCTGATCTCAACATCATGGAGCCAGTTCAAGAATACATGAAGACAAATGAAACTAAAGGCACCTACAGACTGTGGGCTTTCAGCAGTCTTGTAAACTGCATGCCGCTGTTGACAAAAAGACTTCTGGAGGACACACACAAGCAACATTTCTGATGTCACAAATGACGTGAAGCCTTTGAGCCGGTTCAAGCAGTCAGCTCGAGTCACACAGGGTCATACATGTAGTGTGCCTCAGTCTCCTCACACCATATCTCAAGCACACCTCACCAGTTTTTCTTTCTGTGTATTTAAGCTGATGAATTTCCCATCGTGACATTTCAGCATTGCTGCCTGCAGATTCAACCATTCCACCACCCCAACATCCACCGATAGGCTGCAGGAAGATATTTACTCATCACTTCACAATTTTTATCAAATTTTTGTCTTCTTTTTCCCTTAGTCTGTGTTTTGCCACAGCTCTCTTTCTTCTTTTCTCTTCATCCACCACCATCACCAACCAGTTATAGCAGATGGTCGCCCCTCCCCGAGTCTAGTTCTCTGGGAGTTTTTACTTCCCACCATTGCACAGTGCTTGATCATAAGGGATCGCTTGAATGTTGGGGTTTTCTCCAGAATACCGCAGGATCTTTACCTTGGGGCGACCGTTGCTGTGAATTGTTACACACCTGAACTGAATTGAATATTTGCACTACATGGCAAACTCTAACTGTATCCTGCTGCTGTAATAAATCATTTCAAATGTGAGTTAGTAACTTTGTTTTCTTTTTTTGTTGCCTCCACTTATTCCACTTGGGTTTGTTTTGTATTTTTTTTTATTACACCAATGTATTTTTGATTGTTGTGGGCTTTCATGTCTCGCCCTATAGGTTGCTTAGTTGGCCACAGTTCCACTACATGGACAAATGTGGGACACCTACACATCACACCTACAGGAGCCGTTTAACCATGGAAACCTGTGCAATGAAGCTCTCAGGGGAAATTTGTTGTGCTGATGTTAATGCCAGAGGAGGTTTGTAACTAAAGAAAATGAGTCAACAGGGCACTGGTGACTTTTACACACAATGTGTCACAGTGCTTACAGTTGATGGTGACATATCCATTAGAAGACATTTCACAAACTGACTTGTTGAAAAGGTGGCATCTTGTTCAATTACAACATTGAAATCCAGCGAGCTCTTTAGAACAA